AATGTTGGACTTGTGGGCTTGGGCAGCATTGGGTTGGGATGTTTTCATGATGCACATTTTCTTTACATAAAACTCTCTCTTATACATGAGTTGCTGTGGATTTGTTTCTCCAAAGTACCCAGACTAATACACCAAGTCTCTCGATAAGATGGAAACTCCGGGTGTAAGTCTAGGCCACATGCTTCCATGTTTGAAGAGAAGTCACTTTATACTGCTCTGTGACACACAGCTGTCCTTTCTAGAAAGTTTCCCATTGTACCTTTACCTCAATACAAGTAACTTCTGAAAATGCAGTTTTACTCCCCCGACTCTACTTAGTTAAAAATTGCCGATATTAAAAAAGAAAATAAAAAGATTCTGTACAGGTGTTAAACATTGTATGAAGTGTGACTTCAACAATTAAGCTGATTCTAAGAAAATATCCTCATGCTAGAGCCTCCTCATCTGTACCTGCCAGTTTCCAAACCTCTCTTGTAACTCACCTAATCTCGGATAAAATGTGCTCACATAAGTCAGCCCAGGGACACTGTCTGGTAAAGGCTGGACTGCCAGGCACAAGGCCTGTGATTCAAGCCCACCAGCCCTGCCCTGGAAGAGAGATGAGGCTAGCTGCGGCCACACAGCATCTCAGCCTCAGAGACTCTGTGGGGCTGCTAGGAGTCGGAGCTGACTTGATGACAGTGCGTGGAACGGTAAACACACATGAAATTAAAATGTTCTCTATCAAAACGGCTTCTCTCTCCTTGAACATTGGAACACTTAGCAGTTTTAATTATAACCATTCTATTCTTTCAACAGAACTCGCCCATCGTTACGTTACACTCCTACAGTTTCACAGAGACTGAAAATGCCAAAAGCCATGTCACTTAAGTGGTCAACTAAGATCCTGTCACCTAGCGCCATCCCAACAAGGAAGCTCAAAGTCCTGCCCCTGCAGCTCTGTACGTTTTAACCGATCCAAATTCCTCTAGCTACACCACCTTGACATGTGGATTTTGTCTTGAAAATTCAGATCTATACTCTACAGCACCTTGAAGCATTCTGCCCAAAGTGTTGTGCGTTCCTGTGTACAAACTGCTCCTTTCCATGAATAACGCTCTTCGTGTTTCCTTAAATCAGTGGTTCCTGACACGCCCCCTCCCCCCCAACCATAACATCATTTTGGTTGCTCCTTCATAACTGTAATTTTGCTACTGCTATGAATCGGGTAGCCCCTGTGAGAGGGTCGTTGGACCCCCAAAGGGGTCTCGACGCACAGGTTGAGAAGCGCTGCTCTAAACAGACTTGGCTACCGTTTCATTTTCCTTTCTTTAGCTGAGTCTCTTCAGACAATGTCAAGTGACTTCGGGTGTGGAGTCAGTATCGTCTCAGGTGAGAACCACTGGCTTAGAAGCTGGGGAGGGCGGAGGACATGGAAGAAAGGGAGCAACCAGGGAGAGGCTGACATGACATCTGGCGATCAGAATACAGCGGCGGAGAAGTGGCACTGTACTGACAGCGTCCAGCCCTTTGAAATTCTGAAATGCTGGAAAACACACACCAGACACCGAGGAGAAGGTGAAGCGCAAAGGCTACACGTGAACGTTCACTTGCGGAAACTGCAGGAACCCCGTAATCTCTCTGTAAACACCAGGCTGCTTTTACCCAAAGCAGCCTGATGTCGCAATGGAAGATGATCACATCGGAAACCAAGATGGAGGATAGTGATACAATTACATAACTGCCAAGCCACTGAGAACCAAGGCCCCGTCAAACTGACACCCATCACGGTCAGCATTACTCTTGCCTTGTATCTCAGAGTTCTCTACAGCAAGGCATACATTAATATGAAAAACAGCCTTCTTTACGATTGCTGAAAATGTGAAATGGAGAATAACAAGTGAGGTATTCCTTAGCCTAAGCTGAATATGAGTTCCTTTATCTAGCCTTTAGCCTTGAGTCTTGGGAGAAACAGATGCGTGGGGATACCTACTAAGACTGTGGAAATAAAGGTACTCCATGCAAACAAAA